GCCCCCAACCGGAATCGAACCTGGGATCCCTGAGTCCGCAGGCCGACGCTCTATCCACTGAGCCAAACCGGTTAGGGCTTCACAATGATTTTTAATGGGTGCCTAACATTTTATTGAAGGATGTGCCACACCCTGGCTCAACACGCCGATCCTACAGGACATCTAGATGGCTGCCCAGTAACGTGTCATTCACTGTGATGGTTCTATACAGGTAAATATGGGTGCATTTATTGAGTTATAAACATTAAAATATGTGCTTATTACAAAGATAATACAAGGTTCGTATTTTCAAAGGAAAGCAAAATTGATAAAATAAACCACATTAACAATTTCCCAACCCAGCTTTTTTTAAACACACACATATACTATGTGTAATAGATTTGTAAACATATATGTAGTATGTATTCACAATTTTTAAAACAAAAATGGGATTATATCACTATGTAACCTTTCTTTTTATTTAAAATTGTCATGTGCAAGTTTTCTGTGCCAGTAATACCCATAGAAAACATTGTTTTTATTGACTAAGTGGCATCCCCTTATATAGTTATATCAATTGCACACATACTGTGAAGTATTAAGTTCTAGTATATACATTATTAAACACAGTGCTTACAATTTGATGGGGAATTAAGCAAATAAACGGGACAAGTAAAGAGAGAAGCCTGTTTGGTAATGAAATGCCATGAAGGAAAAGAACAGGATACTGGCCAGAAGGTAATAGGGTGTACAAGGTGGTTGCAGAAGGTCTGTCTGAGAGGAAAGAGAAAGTTTGGACTTGAAGGATGAAGAATCTGGCATGTGAACACGGGAGAACATTCTAGGAAGAAGGAGCAGCATGTGTGAGGGCCCTGAGGTGGAAACATTCCTAGAAACTGAAAGATGGTCAGAGAGGCTCACACTTAGGCTGAGGCAGATGCAGCTGGAGGGCTTCTCTGCCATGGCAACTAGTGTGCATGGCATTTTCAGTCTGTGACAGTCGCATGATCTGATTTGTATTTTAGAGAGCTCACTCTGCCTGCTCTGTGCAGGAGAAGGGATTGGAAGGCAAGGGTGTAAGATGGGAGACTAGATAGGGAAGTACAGCAACAATTCAGATGAGAGATGATGGGGGGTTGGAGTAGTGTAGCGGTAATTATAGTTGGATATGAGATAGGATGGAGTGAGGGAGTTGACTAGTTCAGAGAATTGGCAGTAAACATTGCATCCAGGATGGCTGCTAACATTTGTGGGTCTGAAGCAAGAAGACGAATGGAAGGTCCTGCTTTCATCCTCTTCCATCTTCTGCTCCAACCCACACGGTGAGCTGGAGTTCTCTCTCACGCTCACCTGTGGACACTTCAGCCCACTGGTTCAAGCCCCAGGCCACAACCCGTGCCACAGCCAGGATCCACCCTAAGGAGAAAGTGCCTGGAGAAAAGCCCTGTGCAGACCTTATTTGAGAAGGGAGTTCCAGGGTCCTGGGATTCTGCAGTGTGGTCTTGGAGAAAGGAGGTGGACCTTGGGTAGGCACAGCCCCTTAGCCCCGGGGACTCCTTGCCCTTTGTAAAGGGTCCAGAGGGAGAAGGGCAAGAGTGAGGACCCTGATGCTGAGGTTATTAAGGTGGTACTGACTACATTTAGTTAAATTAATTTAGAAAGATCTCTTACATCATCCATAAAGTATACAACTATATACATGTCTTATGTGTACAACCCTACATCATTGTTTTCTAATTCTTCCTTTCTCTATGGCTTTCAGTTAAATGAATTAACTTCACTCACCTGGCTACTTAAACGATGCATTTCTTCTGTATCAGTGGTGAGTAAAACTCTTGAAAATATTCCATTCTTCTTTATACATTGGCTTTTAGACTCGATGCCATCTATTGTCTGTTTAAGTTAATACATCTATAAGATGACTCTTTTTATATTTTGGAAAATGATAGGACTGGGGATGATAGGTGGAAAGGGAGGGAGGGAACTATTTAAAGGACACTACATCTCTTGTTGTAACTCAGGAGAGTCCAACCCAACAGCTGTCACTTAATGAAGATATCAGCGTGCACAACACTGACTGCTAGTGACTGCTAGTTCCTGAAGACTTACTAGTAGGCCCTACACGAGGCTGGAAAACTGTGGGGAGCCGATATAGGGTTAAGCCTCGGACTGACCTGTTGGCAAAGTCACAAACAGGTCTTCCGAGTCTTAAACAACCCCACACACTTTTACTTTGTATCAGGCCAAATACATTAATATCCCTTTTTCATTTAGGTTGGTGATGCCACTCTGAGAATTGGGAAGAAAAAAACATTGACCTTTGTGCAGACCACAGATAGGACTCTGAGACCAGGCTTTGCCCCCCAAGGAACTATAACTTTGAGGGTGTGATTTTACAGTGAGATTTTATGCCAATTTTACCCTCTTAGACAATGGCTGCATTACCTCCCCAGGTCACGAGGCAGGATTGCCCAGGCCTGGGGTCTGTCTCAGGGCAGCTGATAGAGAAGGTGGAGCTGGGGACCCCAGGGCAGGGGCGGGAGTTCCCAGCATGAGGCCCCTTTGTGTACACTAGGGCCAGCCCCCACTCTGCTGATCTGAGGGTAGATGTCACACTACTTAGCTTGAGCACCTACGTTTCTAGATTTGACTCTGATTTTGAGTGAAGCCAGGCACTGGTGGGCTTCCTTACTGTTGTAACTCAGATAGGAGAGTCCAACCCAACAGCTGTCACTTAATGAAGACGTCAGTGTGCACAACACCATTGACTGCTAGTTCCTGAAGACTTACTAGTAGGCCCTACACGAGGCAGGAAAACTGTGGGGAGCCGATATAGGGTTAAGCCTCGGACTGACCTGTTGGCAAAGTCACAAACAGGTCTTCCGAGTCTTAAACAACTCAATCGAAGAGGTGGCCGCTGATTTACACGCGCTATCATTTAAAAAATAAAAAAGGGGGAATTTGCCGGAAGCCGGTCCATCCTTGCTGCTTGACACAGTCGCTGCAGGGAAGAAACATCTGCACAGCATTATGTTTCAAGGGACCTGGCGTATATGGCATACTGTTCTTAATATGTTTGCTCCCCTTCTTAGCGCTATGTGTTTTAACCAAGGTCACCTCTCTGGGAAAGGTTGTTTCCCCAGGTGGGGATTTTCCCCTGGAGTTAGGGATTAACAGGACTAAGGAAGGGAATCAGTAAAACCCCTTAACTAAGTGCCAGGTGGATAGTTAATCACTTTAACTACGAACAGTCATGCTTAAGCTACATAATCTTTACTTAAGATAATCTCCTTCAGTTACTTCCTTGTAGCTTAACAGAACAAGAGTAGTGACCTTGGACTGGAGATAACAAACGCCCTAACCTTTGGAATAGAATGGATAGGATTAAAATCAACTGGTATAAATACAGAGTGCACTTTCTATTTCCATTTTGGAGGGGCAGCGGGAGCCGAGGTGTCGCTGCAGGTTCGCTCTCCCGTGCGCTAGGCTTTTCGGGCTTTTCGTCGTCGCCATGTCCGGAGGTGGTGTGATTCGTGGCCGGGCAGGGAACAGCGATTGTCGCATCTACGTGGGTAACTTACCTCCAGACATTCGAACCAAGGACATTGAGGACGTGTTCTACAAGTACGGCGCTATCCGCGAAATCGATCTCAAGAATCACTGTGGAGGACCACCCTTCGCCTTCGTTGAGTTTGAGGACCCGCAAGACGCGCAAGACGCGGTGTATGGTCGCCATGGCTATGATTACGATGGATACCGACTGCGGGTCGAGTTTCCTCGAAGGGGCCGCGGCTGGGGTGGAGGTGGCGGAGCACCCCGAGGCCGCTATGGCCCCCCATCCAGGCAATCGATCTCAAGAATCACCGTGGAGGACCACCTTTCGCCTTCGTTGAGTTCGAGGACCCCCGAGATGCGGAAGACGCGGTGTATGGTCGCCACGGCTACGATTACGATGGATACTGTCTGCGAGTAGAGTTTCCTCGAAGTGGCCGCGGGGGTGGAGGTGGCGGAGCACCCCGAGGCCGCTATGGCCCCCCATCCAGGCGACCTGAGAACAGAGTGGTTGTCTCTGGACTGCCTCCAAGTGGAAGCTGGCAGGATTTGAAGGATCACATGCGTGAAGCAGGTGATGTCTGTTATGCTGATGTTTCCCGAGATGGCACTGGTGTCGTGGAGTTTGTACGGAAAGAAGATATGACCTATGCAGTTCGAAAACTGGATAACACTAAGTTTAGATCTCATGAGGGAGAAACTGCCTACATCCGGGTTAAAGCTGATGGGCCCAGAAGTCCAGGTTATGGAAGATCTCGATCTCGAAGCCATAGTCGTAGCAGAAGCCGTAGCAGAAGCAACAGCAGGAGTTGCAGTTACTCCCCAAGGAGAAGCAGAGGATCACCACGCTATTCTCCCCATCATAGCAGTGAACACTGCCTCCGTGTCATTCCTTCTTTGCCGACTCCGTCCACACCTTTGGGAACCCCTGGACCTGCTGGGGCTGGGCCCCAACAGAAAACAGTGACAGTGCGCCTGTGTGCTGAGGAAATAAAGAGATTCCTGGAGTATTGTGAACCTAATGCAAGACTCAGTTACGGGTTGAGTTTCCTCGAAGCGGCCACGGGGGTGGAGGTGGCAGAGCGCCCCAAGGCCGCTATGGCCCCCCATCCAGGCGACCTGAGAACAGAGTGCTCTCGTCTCTGAACATGGGCTATTACGTGAAGCACTGGACTCCAGAGCTTCGTTAATGACCGTGGGTCAAACGCTTCCCTAAGTAACTTGCTAGAGGCCCTCTGCCCTCTAATAGTTTCCTGAGTTCTCTGAGTCATTGTGTTCTCCCCTTTAAATGGGAGCAACAATCCTATGTCTCATGATTCTTATAAAGACTGAAAGAGAGAAATCACATAAAGCCCACAGTTCAGTGGCCTTCACGCTTACGTAAGCGTTCAGTAAACGGAGCAATGTATACCATCCTCACACCCCTGATTCACAAAATATTAGTGCATTTTATTTCCCAGACCACCTCTCTGAAAGCCAGAGGAACCACTACCAGGTATTGTTTTGGGATGAAAAATAAGTTCAAGTCAAATTATTTCTAAAAGGCTTAAACATCTGCTTTTTAAAGAGATATGATGTGGTTAAACCTTTGGAACTTGAGATATTTGTCAGTTTATTCAACATTGGCTGGCCCCTTTTTATTTGCCAAAATCAGGCATGTGTCTGTGTCTTTCTGAATGGGCTCTTGCAGTTCTTTGCTCAGCAGGATCAACACACCAGCTGATGGATCTAGGCCACCCTCGCCAAACAAGCACTACCCCGACTATAACCAGCACAGCCTTCCGGCACTCTGCAGGCGTCCTTACTTTGGAAGAAAAGAAAGAGATGTATGAAAAGGGATATGTTTTTCCCAGTGAAAGGAAAGAGTGTTTCTAACACCCCCTCAGACCTCACCATGCACATGTCTCCAGCAAAAATAAAAAATGTGATCATTTTAATTTTTGATTCTCAATAGGAGGCCAACGTTTCGTAAGCAATAAAAGTCACAGATGACCAGGACTTTTATTTAATCAAGTGCTTTAACGTCCTCCCTCTTCCTAGGAATCTAACAAGAAGTAAAACGGAGCATTTAGTCTCTCCCCTTTCTTCTCGCCAGAACGTCAGGGTGCTCTAGGCAACGGGTGCATTCCACCCCAATCAGGGAATCCTGGATGGAAAGGGCTCTGGAGATGGCGGTGTTTGTCCTGAATAATGGCAGACAAAAGAGACCTGTGATGAAAAGACTGAAGGGCTGTGGGATGGCACAGGCACCCGCCGGTCCAGGAGACAGAGCAGAGAGCTCTGTGGACTTGGAGTGGACTCTGCTCTCTAACCTTCAGAGCAGACAGCGCGGAAACACACTGCCTCCTCAGAGCACTTCTGAACTGGCTAGAAGGGAAGAGTGACTGAATTCATTTCCACTAATTAGCAGTTGGCTGTTCCTGCAAGTTAGGAGATCCAGAGCAAACAAGAAGTTTCCTGGAATAGAGGATGTTCAAACCTTCTAAATCCCAGAATAGGACATGGTCTCAAGGCTTTTCCTCCCGACTTGTATATTTCCTGAAAAATACCCCCTTTGTACAATGACATTGAAGGTACCACTTCTTTCCTGCCCTTTGAGCTTATTAAACAGTAAGAAATGATTTTGAACATCCTTTAAAAGTAAAAGTACAAGGAAAGCAGGGTAATGTTTCAGCATCATTGTTATCTCCCCATATCAGCCGCCAGCTTTGTCTTGCAGCCACCCGGTTAGACAGGCACTTATGTTAGTGTTACTCGGAAGTACTGAAGCTGTGCAAACCAGCGTGCTTCCTGTCACACGTCTCTGTGCCAACACTACGGTTTTTCAGCTTTTTCTTTTGTGGCTTTTCAATCTTTTGTTACCTGGCTCTGTTTTTATTTTTATTTATTTTTTAAAAATATTTTTTATTGATTTCAGAGAGGAAGGGAGAGGGAAAGAGAGAGAGAAACATTAATGATGAGAGAGAATCACCGATCAGCTGCTTCCTGCACGCCCCCAACTGGGGATCGAGCCCGCAACCCAGGCATGTGCCTTTGACCGGAATTGAACCCAGGACTTTTCAATCCGCAGGCCCACGCTCTATCAACTGAGCCACACCAGCTAGGGCTGGCTCTGTTTTTATTGTCATGCTCACTGCCAAACGTTGTTCAGTCGCAGTTTGCCAACATCCCAGCATTTCCAGGGTACTAAGAGGGGATGAGTGGGGACTGTCCCATCACACATATTCTGTGTTCCCTTTAAGTCAAAGATTAACTCTGAACCAAGCTTTTGAGAGTAATGCCCTTTAGACTGTTGACTGATGAGCAAGATACTATGGTCTTTTAGTTTACTATCTGCCAACTAGAGGCCCGATGCACAAAAATTCGAGCAAGAGTAGGCCTTCCTTCCTCCTGCTGCCATCACTGGTTTCCCGCCAGCATCCGGGACCCGGGCTTCCGACGGAAGGACGTCTGGTCTAATTAGCATATTACCCTTTTATTATTATTGATAAGAAATTCAGCATTCGGCACCAGTGGCTAAGAGACCCTTGCCTGATTTGGGGCCAGGCCAGTCAGGCACAAGTTGCTTATCTGTGCCGATGGGGCAGCCCTGCCCACAGCTCAGGGGCATCTGGCTTTGGGATCCAGGGATGTGAGCCATGTCCAGTGATGAGCAAATATTAACAGAACTGGATTCCTCTCAGAACAGCAAGTGGGGAAGGAAAGTGGGTGGCTTGTTAATGACCATCAGACGCCATACTTGATAGAGCTCAAAATCTTTACAGAGCGATTGGGACAGAAAAATCTGTACGCTAAGAAAAGATAGCTTACGGAATTAGCCTGCTTAAGAGGTAAACCCCACAGAACAGCCCAGAACAGCATGCACTAATGACCACTTAACGCTGCTGCAGTCTGAAGGCTGCGTGCTTCCTGGGATTTTGATGACTCACTCTCCTATCAATGGAAGGAGAATAGAAGAAGGGAAAGGACCTAACATTTATGAAGGACTTGTCTGTATCGGGCACTGGTGTCAGGCATTTTAACGTATTTTTTTCACTTAGTCCTCAAGAGATGGTATTATTAGCTCCTTTTGCCAGGCAAAGAAAGAGGAAAAGTTAAGTGACTTCCAACATAATGGGAGAGGGTGGGAGACAAGATTCAAATACAAGCCCATCAAAAGGAACCAATTGCTCCAAATCCCATGCTTTTCCCACTAGACCATGCCAAGCGTGTAAGGACATGCAGAGTGTGGCTGAAGACCAAGCAGAAGGGAATGGGGATGATACCGTTGTAATTAACTAGTTATTAATAACAGGAAGGGAGCGAAGGGAAGGCCAGACATTACATGCATATTCTCTGCAAAACACTGTGGGGGGGAACCCAGTAGGGAAAACAGATGCACACCCAGTAAAGTTGGGGTGACATAGGGAAGCTATTTGCCTGTCAATCACACCTGGGATGTTTGGCTCTCTCTTGGTTCTCTTGCTGCATTTGTCATGGCCCACGGTCATGTGGATCCAACATGCAATAGACTAATGGATTGCAGCCAGCATGATGCTGAACCGGACCCAGCTACAACATGGAAAGGAAACTCTGGACATGGCTCTGATTTTAGCTCCACTGAAACCCCAGCTACACTTCCTCTATGACTGGACTAAGGGGAATGGGACTTTGGAAACCCAGAGGTGTAATTCCACAAAAATAAAGCTTTCTACTATATCTCATCCTCCTGTGGGAACCTCCAGAAATGCTTATTCCAGCGGCACCCCCAGAACCCCACTCCCACTATCAACGGGAGAGACAAGGCATGCTCCCTTCAAATAACAGACAGATTCTGTTTGTCCATGTCTCATGAGGGATGGTCTTGATCGTGTAGCATCACCATAAGGTGAGCATTTCTCCCCATTGTGAGAAGCAACATGGAAATATAGCCATTATCACTTATTATTTTTAAATAAATAAATACACATTATCATGTATTATTTTTAAAAGGTGAAAAATTATGCACAAAATAATGAATTGATTTATTTCATGCCCCAGGCACTGAATATGAACCAGTGCTCAGCTTTTGGCCCTAATAAGGACACCTGTGGGATTTTCCTGGGGTCTGTGCAATGGGCAATGCTGCGGGGGGGGGGGGGGGGGGGGGGGTGGAGAGAGATGGAGACAGTGCAGAAACTAATATATGCAAGTGTTTATATAAACTAATTCATGCAAGTGCTTCTCTTGGGTGATTAAAAAAGAATATATCTAGATCATGCTGTATTTTTTACTGTGACTTTTCCAGCTCTTGCTTGAATATTTCTTAAGGCTTTATAAACAAAACAAATGCTGCTATTGCTTAGCTGCGAGAGTGCACTTTAGACATATTTGACAATTCAAACTTTCAAATTAAAGGTGCCAGTGACTGGCCAATATTACCCCTCCGCCAAAAAAAAAAAAAAAATTACAAAAAAATCTCAGAAATAAAAGGCACAGAGATCCAGCTCTGCAAATACCTACAAATACCTACATAAGGACCTCCTGTTACTGAACACAGGCCAAATCTAATCACCAGGATCAAGAGACTTTCCAAATCAGCTGGGACTTTTGGTGTTAAATCTGCATGAAATTCTCAACTACTAGATATCATATTTTTTTAACATTTTGTTTTCTCGTTGATAGTATTACAGATGTCTCCCATAGATATAACCTTAATCGGGAATTTGGACTCAGGTTTGACCACCATCAGATTAAAAAGGAGGTGCTATACTTTGTGCGTTGATATGCCACTAGAATAAACAATCTGATAAAAAGCAAGCCTTAGGTTTACATAAACTCTTCAGGTGTAACTCACCACCTATGGGATGAAATCCAACCTTGGCAAGTAGGTGAGGTCTGGCCTGACTGCTTGGCCCCTCCTATCCCTTCCAGCCTCACACTTGGCAAGAGCAAATTATTTGGATGTTACTTTCTAAGCGCAAACACCCCAAGTGTCATTTTGCACCTCTATATCTTAGCACATACCGTCTCTCTTCTGGGAACTTCTGATCTGGCAATATCTGTGTAGGATTTGGAAGACTCTTAACCGCCTCTCCCCGCACCCCCACTGCTTCTGCGAATTATACACACCTGCCCCTCTTCCTTCCTGAGCTGTGAGCTACCTGAGAGGAGGGCTGGCCTGTTGTAGGTGCTGACTCAAGGAAAGGAATCAATTGCTCTAAGATATGAAACATGTTTCTTTATTTTGCCCGGAGTCCTCCATGAGAGGAAGGTGGGTGGCTTGTTAATGACCATCAGACGCCATACTTGATAGAGCTCAAAATCTTTACAGAGCGATTGGGACAGAAAACTCTCATGAGAGAGTTAGTTTCTCATTATTTCCCTAAAACAACCACAAAGAATAAGTTCCCCAGTTGAAGGGTTCAGTAAATCCTTTCAGAGGTCATCTAAAAGTTGGTAATGTTGCAAACTGAGTGTGAAATAGGACCATGCATTCTAAGAAACATGTAAGATAACTGAAGGACAATATTCTTCAAGTATGTATTGATTCTACCTGCAGCAAGTGAAAAGAGAATACAGATATCAAAGCAGGTGCCCCCCAGATTCCTGGGGCGATAGGTATAAAATCATCACTGTTAGAATTCACACTAAAATGCAACACCCTCAATACCATAGGCTCCATAAGAAAAAAACACCTTTGTAGGTTGAGGGGTTATTTGCTCATTGTTATTCTCCACCAGTAGGTGTCGTCAGAGATAAGCAAGTTTGCTAGGGCTGCCCTCTCAAGGATGGTCACCCCAAATCCTGCTCCAGCTGGATTTCGGCTGCCTCCAAAGGTCCCGTCCCTCTGTGGAAGCTTCAGCTAGAACAGTCAGCATGCACGCTGTAGTCCTCTAAGTTTACTATACAGGAGAATCACCTTTTTGGGGTCAAGGGAGTTCAAATGCAGATTCCTGAGATAGTCTGAGTCAGTAGGTCTGGATGGGCCCTGAGTAATTTTCATTATAAGCACCACCTTCTTATCCTCCCATCGTGATGCTGAGAAACACTGATTTGCACCCACGCGGACTGTACAATATCATCTGGGAGACAGTCAGGCTGGAAAGGGACTCATTTGTTCCTTCATTCACCAAACACCTATTGAGCCCTTACAGCTTGCCAGTCCGTTGGGTATCTTTGCAAAGTTGTGCAGCTCATCCTCCTGTCTGTTTCAGGTGTGAGAGCACCATCAAGGGATCAAAATAGAGGTAAGCACTCAACCTATCCTTTCTTACGTTCACTCCGTCAGAGAACCTGGCTTCCACCGTGAGAGGCAAAGAGCCCCACTTCCTCATAAAGAACACTCACACGTTTACAGAAATTCTGCCAATAAACTGATCCCCAATGGTTAGCTTATAGGATGTAAACATTCCCCTCAGATAGC